TGCCCGAATTTTTAAATTTTTTCCTTGGTGTAAATTTTTTTGGTTTTTTTTTTTTGTTTGTTCTCTATTTCAAACCAGGTGTTTTTTTTTTGCCAGGTTACCATCATCATACATGCATGTTGTTATTGCCGTTGTTGTTGCCGTTGTCTTGACGTTTATTGTTTCTAAGCGACAATTGCTATTTTCTGGTTGGGAAATGTAAAACTTTATTTGATTTTGATTTTCTATTTTAATCATTCCTGTGTTTTTATGGTCATTGATCATCATCATCATCTAAAGTTTCATACGGTAAATCATAACATTAAATATTTTCAACAACGGTCGTTCACGTTTAAATCGAATGTTTTTTTGAATTTCGGCTACTTGGTTACCATTCATTCATGGTTTAATGTTGAACAAATATTAGACTATTTCCCATTCTTTTTGATACATTCATAAACAATGTACAAATATACAAATAGATCATCGATTTGATAATTTCGGTTAACACAGAAAAGATCAATGCTCCTTTTTTTTCCTTCTCTACCTTTGAATATTGAATTTTGTACAAAAAGAAAAATAAAACAAATTGACTTGAACAAAAAATAAAATGTTTCGTTTTTTCCAGGTAAAACTGATGATGATAATGATGATAAGACAAAAAAAAATCGTCATTGTTAACACCCACTTAATTGATAGTCACTTCAGTGTGTGTGTGATATGGTGACGGTGGTGGTTATCACTATCATCATCATTTATTGATCATGTTTGGCATTTGTCGAAAACAAAAAAAAAAACAATCATCATTCGAACCAGGTTCGACGATGTTAAATTGATTTGAAAATTTTTGAATAATTTTCCACGATGGACGATACCGTTTTTTCTCGTAAAATGGATGGATGTGTTTGATGAACAGAAAATATTCAAATATTTTCAACATTGAAAATCGATAGATTGTGATCGATCAATCGATCGATCGTTCGATTGATTGTTTTCATCGATCAAAGAAATGAAAAATTTCTTCATATTTTTCAATATTCCCGTAGTCAAAATAAAAAAAAATTACCGCAAAACAAAATTAATGATGGCCACACAGTGATGATGATGGTGATTGTTGTCGTTATTATTATTGTGGTGATGGTAGTAACTTATACGAAAATCACTTATCATCGGGACTTCTCCATTTTTTTCGTTGTTGTTGTTGTTGTTGATCAGAATTTGATGATGATCGAAACTTCGAAGCCGTGAGAAGTGCCCTTAAGGTTTGTTTATTTCGGGGGTGGATGATGATGATGATGAATATTTCTGGAATTTACATTCCTTTTTTTTTCTTTTGCTTCATCGTTTATCCAAATGAAGCAAACAAACAAGAAAAACAAAATCGATACCCAGATAATTGATGGTTTTCCCAAAACCATAAAGTTCAATCATGTATTTTGTGTTGTTTTGAAAAAACTTTCTATCCCTCACTCTTCATTTGTGTTTGTGTGTAAGTGTGGGAAACAAAAAAATTCAAGTAAAAAAAATAATTCCAGTTGCAATTTCAATTATCTGTTAAGAATTTTACAATTAAAAAAACTCTTTTTTTTCAATGGGAAAATGAATCAAATTAAATTAACAATTTCGATAATGATGATGATGGCGTAATGATATACCAAGTGGAACACAAACAAATCAATAAATATCGATATTCGATAAACATTGACCAAATGGATTGAAATGGTTTTCCGTAAATTATCTTGGTCAGCAAGAGATTTGAAAATAATCGTTTGAAAATGGCCAAAAAAAAAATCAAACTATACGACATTGGTAAGAAAAAAACAAAATCATGTTTCAAACATTTTTGCACGACTAAATGATGATGATGATCATCATCATTTTCTTCCTCCTCCCCCTACTTTTCTTCACAACAATTTTTAAATTCATAAACTTACGAAAAGAAAAAAAAGCAAAACTACCAAAAATAGTACCCTGTGTTCGTGTTGTATGTTTTCAATTTTTTTTTCTTCTTTTCTTGTTTTTTTTGAGAAAGAAAATGAATGAGACCCTCCTCCTACAACAACAACAACAACAAATCACTATTGGTAAGTTTTGGTTGGATCATCACTATTATCATCATAAGGAAAAGAAAATAGAAATTAGATTGACATTGATGAAAGTAAGAATGAATGAATGAATGAATGAAAAATCGTGATGGTATGTCTGTTTAGCGTTTGTGTGTGTTCATGGGTTGTGCTTTACTTGTTGTTGTTGTTAGATTCTGTATGGTTCATGCATTATCTGTTTGTTTCTGTTGTCTAATGATTTTTTGTTTTTTGGTTGTTTTTGGTTTCTCAAATCAATTCTATTGATTGAATCATCAACATATCAGTAAATTTTTTTGTTGTTGAAATTCTTGTTAATTTCTATTGAAAATTGCCCAGTTAAAGTGTTATTGAACCAACCTGAAATTACTTTTTTTTTGTTCCCAATCATGGCTATTGATTGTTTTTGTTTGTTTTTTGAAAGTAAGAATCATCAAAATCAGCCATTTAATTCTTTGTTAATGATAATGATTTTATTGAATTTTTAAATGTAACAAAAAAAAGAAATTATTTTAAATAAATTTTTCCACCGAAACAACAAAGTAAATCGCAAACAACAATGTATTTATCGGTGAGTTTTTTAAATTTTATCAAAATTTTTATTGAAAAAAATCCCTGAACTTAAAAATTGATAAAAGTTGACCAAAACAAAAAAAAAGATGATTTATTTGAATCGCAAAACAAATCATCATCATCCAGATCAACAAGATTTAAAAAGAATTAAGAATTTTCTTTTTCACATAAGCATTTACATATCGAAAAAAATTCAATTCAATCATCATCATCACAAGTTGTCATTCATTCAAAAAAGCAAAAAAAAAAAAAAATTCAAAATTCAAATTGAATTTAATTTCTCTGATTTCTCTGGTAATCATCATTTATATCCGAAAAAAAGCCCACCTGTTGCTGTTGATCATATAACCAAAAGATGAAATTTGAAAAAATCAAAAATCAAAAAACGCTCCACATGGTACAAAATGATACGCGATTACATCACAAATCAATATAAATTGTTGTTTGACCAACCAAATGAAGCTTTGATCCATTTCAAACGATCAATCGATCTATCTATCGATCGATTGATGATCGTGACCTTTTTAAATAAAAGTAAATAATCACTGCCGCATCCAATGTATTAGATTCAAAGATCGAAAGAAAAAAAAACTTATGAAAAATTGATTTTTTTTCCATATATATGATTTTGACATAGATCCAGAAAGAAAAAATCTTCTTTGAAGAATTAGAAAAGGAAAACACATTTCAGTAATGTTGTCATTTGTGACAGCAGAAAGTAATGCCGAATTTTTCATTATGAAAAATGATTTAAAAATTTAAATTTTGTCGGAATTATTTTACGAACCAAAAAATGATAATCTTTGTCGGCCACAATGTTGATGATGACAATAAAAAACCGATGTAGACAAATTACCCAATTTATTAAAATTTTTGGTTTTTGATTCGGCAATTTTTTTTCATCTAAATCAAACGAATGAATGAATGAATGAATGAATGAATGTTAACAAACGACCATAAACTTCCTGTGATAAATGAATAAAGGAAAATAAATTAATTTTTCTCATTTTGAAAATTTGATTTGGTTTGGGCCAAATATAGTTTGACTATAATGATGATGTCAAGTCTGTTTAGACAACAAACCAAACCAAACCAAAAAGAAAAAATTCAATTAAGATCAGATTAAATCATCAAATGTCCTGGACAAATCATCCAGACATAGGTGTGTGGAAATAGACACACTGTGTAAATCGATATATCGAATAACTGAATTTTTATTTCTTTTTCATTTTGACTATTTTTACCGAATAAAATATATTGAATGAAATTTTTGGTTTGTTTGTTTGTAAATTGTAAATTATCGATCGACTTTATGATCAATCGATCGATTGATCGATTGTAAATTATTATTATATATTTTCAAGATTGGCGACCAAATCAATTGATTGTTAAATATGATAAACCAAATGTCCAATCTATTTTATTCAATATGTTTTCACTTGTGATTCCAATAAAACACAGACACATTATTCATTATCGTTTCCGATGTTATCTCGTGGCTGGTCCTTTTCTCTCTCTCTCTCTCTCTCTACTCGTGTTTTGTTCATTTCATTCAATTTTTTCTCTTCAACTAATGATGATAATGATGATAATGATGGTGATGATAGTGCGGATGACATTGACCCAAGTTTGTATTGAAGAAAGTCATAATTATTTAGTGTTTTTACGACTATGACTTTTGATGTCGGTGGTGGTGATGGTGTGGTCAGCTTTGTTTATTTCTCCAAGAAATATTCCAGTTCAGGTGACAATAAAAAGAAGAAATCTCGCACTTGGTCAACAATTTTGTTTTCTTTGAAAGAAAAAATTTGAATTTATTATCATTGTCATTCGGTAATAATGGTGAAGATTGCAGTTAATCTTTTATGATGATTATATGTATGGTTATGATGATCAATGCTGTAAAATGATGATGGTCATGGTTGTTGTTGATGTTGGTTGACTCGATTTGCATATGACCACCGCCATCATTATCATTATTATTCATTGAAATCGATTTATAACAAGAAATAATATAACGAGTTAAGCAACAAAAAAACATTCCAAAGATGTTTTTAAATAAACTTGAAAGAATTCAGTTTTCGAAGCAAAATACGAAACGAAATGAAAATTCACTCTTTTTTTCCAACCTGTTGACAGAAAATTTATGATTTAAAGTTTTGTCGTTTTATCATATCATATTTTCATTTTTCCAAAAAAAAAACAAAAAATTTCTCGTAAAAAACATTCCATTATCATAAATTCCAAGATTAAAATTAGTTTCTTCGTTGTTCCTGTTGTTGTTTCGTTTCTATTAATATTCCAAGCTTAAAAATTGAACGAAAAATTCATCAAAAAACCAACTCTGATCTGATTAAAACAAAACAGAAAAAAATGTTGACCTAAATTTTATCAAACAAACAAAGAAATGATGATGATTATATGATGAAACAAAACGTACTATGACCCGCTGACCAATCACATGTCAAATGTCAATTCATTTACTATATGACCTTTATATCAAATTTAAAAAAAAAACAAAAAAGGTCAAAACATTAGATAAATGAATTTTACTTTTTTTCCAATGTTGATGATGATTGTCCATTAACACCATTATTCTTTTTTCATTGGACAATCAATTATTGAACCAAAGGAAAAATATTCTCAATGAATAAATGAATGATGTGTTTACACAAAATGATTCTTGATAATGCTTTGTTGATTGTAAAAAAAGCCACATGGTGTGTTTGTGTGTGTGTATGGTTTAATGGTATTCTTAATGAATTCATTCATTCATTTACTTTTATGAAAATATTTACCGATTGTAACTTTAGTTGTTTGTTTAAGTTTTTAGTTAAAAAAACGTGTCAAAATTGATTTTAATTATCATCGATCATCCATTTAATGATGTTCATTGATTTTTTGTTTCGAATCTACTAGTATTTTGTTTTCATCAATGAATAATAAACATCGGAAATAAGTTGAAAAAAAGAATTTCACAACAACAACAAAAATGTTAATTAATCATTCAATTTAAGATTCTTTTCAGATTAAAGTTTGTTTTGTTTTGTTTTGTTTTTTTGCCTATATCAATCTGCGTGAGAATTTTTTTTCAAATTGATCGATGAATTGAATTGTTTCAATTTTTTGTTTTTTTTTCGGCCAACTGGATTGATCAGATTTGTTTTTTTTGAATTGAAATCGATTATTATTCGATTGTCTTTCAGAATTCATTGAAAATTAGATAAGATCTATGTTTGTTTTTCCGTTTGTATTGCGTTTTCAATCATCAATTTCCAAAATAATTCTTCATCAAATGTAACGTAATAATGATGTGATTGAATTTGGACAACAACAACAACAACAACAACAAAATCATTGAAATGATAATGTAATTTTATCAAATTACATGTAACAACCAACAACAACAACAACAACAAACAAACAAGCCGAAAAAACATTACAAATAGAAATTGAAAGGTAAAAATGCCGCCAATGTTTAGTTGTTTGGATTGAAAAGAAGAAGAAGAAGAAGAGAAAAAAAATGACACATAATTTTTCCGAAAAAGTTGTTGTTGTTGATATTTGTTTTCGCTTGTGTCCAATGATAATGATGATAATGATGATGACAACCTTTGATGTCTCGATTGTTGATTCGATTCCAATTATCATTATTATCATTTGAATTTCCAATTCAGCAAAAAAAAATTCAGTTTTTTTCTCGAAAAAAATTCATTTTTGATTTTGAAATATTTTGTTGCTTAAATTGTTAAATCAAGATTTTACATACCTTGTTTGTAAGAAATGAGAAAATTCTTGTTTTTCTCTTTCTCTTTCTCTCTCTGTGATTTGACAAGAAAGTCACAGGTAAATCACATCATCATCATCATCATTCAAAGTTCAAAAATCACCCTCTCTCTCTCTCTTTCTGCTAGTTGATGATCGATATTATCATTATTATTTTGTTTGAGAAATAAGAAAATGAAACAAAACTACGACTAGACTTGAACCGACCGACGGTCAAATCGTGACTGGCCGTTTTTTTTCTTGCTATAGCTCATCATTTTTGAAAAAAAAAGAAAAAAATTTACTTTTTTTTCAAATTCTATACTAGATTTTCACGATTCGTGATCTACGATTTTTTTTTGCTTGTGTTTGTCCAGTGTGAGTGTGTGGGGAAAAGAGCGAATCATTATTGTACGCTAGTGGTGACCACCACCACCATCATCAACATTTAACACAAGGTATAAAACACACACACAACGATACTGACCGATCTGATCAAAGCCGTCAATTATGCATACATACATATAGATCTTGAATCTTTAAGAAGATCATTTATGTTTTGGCCTTAATCATCATCATAATCATCAGCAATGTTGTTGTTGTTGTTGTTGTTGATGGATAAATCACCATAAGGATAGAGAATCATATTTGGGAATTATCATTTTATGCAAGCGAACAAAATGAAATGATGGTGATGAACAAAGTTGTTTGTTTGGATTTAATAATAAAAAAATGAAATTCTTTATTTAGGTTGTATTACTAATCATCATCATCATCATCATCAAAATTATTATTATTATTTTACAAAACAAAAAAAATCAAACACATTCATCTTCAGTCATTGTAGTTGTAAATTCACGTACACGACGTATCGATTTTTTACAACAATAATAACCAATACAAATTAATAATATAAAATCAATTAATATCAAAATAATAATACCGATTATAAACCATTCTTTATCATATTGAAATGGACAATAACCAACATCATCATCAGTTAATATTGATTGTGTTGATGGTTGTAAATTTTCATCAATTACAGTTTCATTTATAGTTATTAAAGTATCATTTATAGTTATTAAAGTATCATTTATAGTTATTAAAGTATCATTTATGTTTATTAAAGTATCATTTATGTTCATTTTTTTTTCTTTTCACTGACAAAGTCAACCAGAAAAAAACAAAACAAACAAAAACAAAAACAAAAACAAAACAAAACGTAACAATAAACATTGTTTTTTATGTTGAATAACTTAGAAATTTAATTAATGAATTTTTGGAATTTTTCATTTTTCATTTACAGATCTCATTGTTAATGCATTTTTCAATGCAATTATCGATTATGGTGAATATTATTGAATCATCGGGTGATAATAAACAACAACAACAACAACAAACTTCAACAACAACAACAACAACAATAATAAAAACATATCGTTGTTTACGTCGTGAACAACAGATTATATGTCCAACAGATAATAGTCAGCTAATAAATCTATCTAAATCATCATCAACTGAAACAAATTCAAGTATAAAATTTGGACCAAATATGTATCATAGACAATTTACAATATCATCTTTACCATTGTCAACATCATCTTCGTCATCATCCGCTGAAAATAATGACAATAAAAATTCTCTTACACATGTGATCTATTATACAAAGCAATATTCTGATAATAATGATCAAAATACATTCGATTTGAATGATGAAGATGAACATCAATTTATGCATCAAACAAATATTAAAGAACATATTATTGATGATGGTAATGGTCATCAACAACGTAAATTAAATAAGTAAATTTTTTTCAACTTTTTTCCTGAATTCAAGGTTAATCCATTCTTTCGAAATTTTTTTTTTCATTTTCTTTCGTTTAGAGTCAAAATTAACACATTTATCGATGATAATAAGGCAATGATTCGACGAATGTTTGGTGATTATGGTCATCATCATCATCTTGGACAAAATGATGGCCATTTAACGCCAATGTTGCCGTATGATGATGATGAATTTCGTGATCATTATTCAAGTTTTCATGATCAACATTCAGGTCATCATCGTCGTAGTCGGCGTTCGATTAAACCAAAATTATTGTCTGGTAATAAGTAAGTTTCTTTTGTTTGTTGTTGTTGTTGTTTTTCACTACGAAAAAAATCGTGCCATTCATGTTATTTTACTCGTGTTTTTATCGTTTGTTGATCGGAAATTTTTCAATGAAATTTAACTTACAACTTTTTTAAAAACTTGAGAAAATTTTGTTGTTGTTGTTCCGGTCACGAGAGTGACGACCTTGTTACTTTTTCATTTGAAAAAATAAAATTTGATCTAATTGTTTTTTTTCCAAAATTTCATTCATCTAATTTTTTTTTTGTTTAACAAACAAGGATCGATTCATGTGAATCAACAGTGGAAATTGTAACACCATATTGGGCATCAAATTCTGCTGGAAAAATTCGTGCTATTGTTAATACACAACATTTACAACAAGCAATACAACAAGAAATTTGCCAGTAAGTCACCAACAAAAGATGGCGCCATGTGTCTTAGTAAATATTTTTTTTAATTTTTTTAATTTTTTTTTTAATTTAGAGCTGTACAAACAAGAAGATGTAATGCAGATTGTCGTTGTGAACAAAAATATAAATGGCATCGTTTATTAGCATATGATCCTGATGATGATTGTAAAGGAATATTTATGGATTGGTTTCTATTTCCATCTTGTTGTGTTTGTCGTTGTACTAGATATTGACCTGTAATTGATGATTTTTACCCAATACACACAGACACACACAAACACATGAATACCGAAAATATTATCGATTTTCGGACAACAGATTCGATCATTTTGTAAATTTTTTTTTTTCATCATTCACATTACACATTTATAACTGTATAATAATTGCAATTTACTACATCTACATCATCATTCTATAGAAAGAAAGAAATAAAAATCATTTTGTAATAAAAATTCAATGAGAAATTTAAAAAAAATGAAAATCGTTTATCAATTGTGATTCACACACAGTGATTGTTGTTATGAAATTTTCCAATCAAAGTGAAAAAAAAGAAACTTTAAACCAAATTCGTAACGAATGAACAATTTGTCCATTTTGTAATTTGCTTTCGGACACATCATCATCATTGTTGTTGTTGTCATTCATTTATCATTCATTTTATTTTACAATTGAATCAAAGGATTCAAATAAGAAAAAATGTTCTTTTTTCTTTTCTTTTCTTTTCTTAAGTAACAATGTTGTTGTTGTTGTTGTTGTTGCCCCCATTGTGTGTTTCAAATTGGAAAATTTTAAAAACTTTTTTTTTGTCATTGATGAAAATGATCGATGATCAAATGATTTTGATGCTTTCTCAATTCTGAATGAATCAAATTTTCTCTTTTTTTCCTTTCAATCTTTTCGATTGATTGATTGATTGATTGATAAGTTGTCGGAATTGAGACAAAAAAAAAGAATGGATTATTTTATGGTTGATGATGAAATATGGAAAAAGAAAAAAGAAAAGAAGAAAAACCCGTTGCGATCCCAAAAAACAAAACGATTTTTGAAGAAAATATAGTAACACTTGACCTTTGTCCCATTTAATTTCTTGATTCAATTTTTCTTTTTCGTTGAATATTTTTGTCTTTGTAGATCAAAATCAAATGATGAGTAGGTGATGAAATCTAAGTTCCTAAATGATAAACAAACAGCATCAGGTTTAGATTTGTTCATGTTTCATTTTTTGACATTTAATTTTTCTTTAAAATGGGTTTTTGATAATCAAATATGTAAATATTTATTTTTTCAACCAGAAAACAAAGCAAAAAACTGATAAAACAATACTAAAGTTCTGTCAAAGCTGAACATAGACATCTCTTTGATGAACCTTTCTCATCATTTTCAAAAACAATCTCTTTCGTTTTGTTTTGGTTTTGAAGAAAATAATGTTCTCTGTTCCATACTAAATGAAACACAATAAATAAAATAGAAATGGTCAAACAACACTTGGCATTTTTTTCAAACTGAACAAATGATGATGATTGTTATTTGATGTGATGTGTGTGTGATAATAATAGAAACAACATAAAAGGTGTGTTATAATATCGTTTTGGTGAGACAAATTGAATTTTCATCGTTCACATTATCATCATCATCATCAGACTTTAAACATCCGAAACAAATTCGATTATACAATAAACATTGTGATGTGAAAATTGTCAACAAAAATAAAAAAATTGTTTTGCTGATCAAATTCGTAAGAAAAACAAGAAAAAATGGTCAAC